AATCTACACTGAAATATTTAGTTTACTAACTAAATAGTTAACTTGCAAATTAGTATTTTGTTTGTAAACTAAATATTTAGTTAGCAAATTAAATATTTTGTTTAGGAATTAAATGTTTAGCTTAGAAATTAAATGTTTAGTTTGGAAAATAAATTTTAGTTAGCAAATTAAATATTTAGTTTAGAAATTAAATGTTTAGTTTGGGAAATTAAATAATTAGTTTGAAAAATAAATATTTAGTTTGGAAATTAAATATTAAATCTTCACCAAAATATTTAGTTTACTAACTAAGGAGTTAATTTGCAAGTTAAGTATTTTGTTTGTAAACTAAATATTTATTTAGCAAATTAAATATTTAGTTTAAGAAATAAATGTTTAGCTTAGAAATTAAATGTTTAATTTGGAAAATAATTTTTTAGTTAGAAAATTAAATATTTAATTTAGAAATTAAATGTTTAGTTTGGAAAATAAATATTTAGTTTGGAAATTAAATATTTCATTTACACCTAAACACTTAGTTTACTAAATAAATGTTTAACTTGCAAGTTAAGTATTTAGTTTGTAAACTAAATATTTAGCTTGTAAATTAAATATTTAGTTCGGAACTATGACGTTTATAAATGTATGAATAACATGGTGAAAATATGACTTGGGGAATTTTTTTTTCTTATTTAAGGCTAAGTAAACCAAAATATTGCTGTTAACTTTTGACTTTGTAACTTTACAAATGGCACCCCATATAAAATGGGTTTATGAGATGTACTAATTGTCGCGTTCTACTTTAATTCACATTTTACACAATGTACCAACTTTGTGGGAATTGAGCCGGTATGAATCTTAGACCATCAATAAAGAAAAGCACCCCTTTGGAACGCCAGTTTCTGGATGATTTCTCTTTCTTTCTGCCATACCTTCTTACCCGCCACCCTCCTCCTCCACCATCCACCATCTCTCTGACAGTGAGACACATAATCAGGTTTTTGCAAGATTTGTTTCCAGATTAGCTGCCAACTTCCCTGAGATAAGAGGCTGCACCGATAAAGCCTGTCCTGGCTGTGAAGAAACAACATATCTGACATGAACAGATCTGTTAAGAACACAATTAAGACACTGTCTAGTCGTATCTACCCCAACTTATCCCCACTTATCTCTCCTGCTCTTGTTTTGAGATGACGATGAAAAATCCAGACTGAAAGTAGATAATCCATGAAAGACTAGAACTGGACTTGACATTGTTGCTTTTTTCCCCAATGAGTTCTTCAGTCCATGGAGTCTTACATGCCACTGGTTTATATAAAATTGAACTCATGGGGCAGGTTTTACTTTTCACCCCCCCTCAAATACGACTCTTATGGGCCTTTAAACACATAAAATACAGTTTGAATGCATTCCAGAGAAGCTGAATGAATACTTATTGATGATGGATTTTAGCTGAACGCTTCTGAAGTTGAAATCAAGGTGGAAAGGTTTCATCGCTAAACTGTTAATCTGAGTTGAATTTGAAGAGCCGACGCTTGCTGACAGCAGGAAAGTAAAAGTGGAAAGCAGCAAAACAAAATGGCAGAAATTAGCACAATAAACTGAAATAGGCAGAGAGAGGCTGAATAGATTTAAAAAATCTGAAATTTAGCTTGAAAGAAATGGAAAAAAATTTGAAGTAGCTGAAAAAGCTAAAATATATTTAAAAAAAGAGGCTGAAATTAGCAGAAAGAGGCTGAAAGGAGCACATTAAGTTAAAATGATTCAAAATAATAAAAAGGTGGAAATTAGCCAAAAAAGAGATAAAAGAATAAAAGCTAAAATTTGCACATAATCCCTCCAAGAGCCGCAAATGGCCCACGGACCGCACTTTGGACACCCATGGCTTAAAGTGTCAGGATAAACTTGCAGCCACAAACACAAACCTTAAATTCCCCTTCACAGTGGATGGAATGATAAAAAAGAGCATGTGTGTCCACACCACATCTGCATCACTGCTGCTTATTTGTATTTTCAGGCTTTGCACCCTGCAGAGATTGATGCATTTATAGATTATCCTCCTGTTCTGTACAACTGGAGTGAATCAGCACCGACCCCTATCCATCACGGCCAAACAGAACATCTTTCTGCATTTCTAAAGCATCCTAAATCATTATCAGGATGCTTTATTTACTTTCCCCCCTATTCAATGAGGAATTCCAGAGAGCTTTTCCAAAAATATGTTTGCATATGTATCGCTGGAGCAAGTGAAAGTTGTATTATTCTGATAAGAAGGGGTGAAGAGTGTTCCTTCAGTCGCTCAGGAGGTTCAGTTTCAAACAACAGATACCTGCTCCTATCAGCAACGCCGAAACGAGCCTGCCGGTGCAGCGGCAAATCATAAGAAACTTCCTTCTCCTCCGTGCTGTAACAGATCTTTCTCAAAGATGCCCCTCGGGGAATCATTATCTCACTAAAACACCACAGAGAGACTCAGTTCCACTTCTCCTATAATCCACATCCATTATTCAGAGGAAGCCAACAGTGAACTAGAGGAACCCTGATGTCTCATTTGAAATGATTAAGAGATGCCCGGCAGCTCTGGTTAGTATCGTTTGTAGCATTTTAGTCTGCATTTTAATGCCTGAAAACTCAAAACAAGCGAACGTAAAAAAAAAAAAAGGGTGGTAAACAAAATGGCTGCACGGGTAACAAGACTGGACAACAGACGCACAGCAGCTAAAGTCTGAACGTGTTGAACATTTCGAAAGATGCTAATCAAATCAGAAAAACTCAAAATTTCAGTGGACCGTGTGGAGTGAACGCTGACGGCAAAAGAAGAAGCCAAAACTGACTGTTAAATTTAAAATGAGCAGAACTGAAGCTAAAATCAGCAAAACTGTAGCTAAAAGCTGGAATTAGCAACACAGTAGTTAAAAGCTAAAATTTATAAAATTGTGGCTAAATGTCAAACTGAGATAAAGTGACAGGAGTTTCTGTGTTAAGGTTGGAAATAGTGTATGTGGAAATGGTATATAGTGTATATGGAAATAGTGTCAGTGCCTCTTTCCTGTGGGGTCCCACAGGGCTCGATTCTTGGACCCCCACATTAACAAAAGCTAAATGTAGCAAAGTTGTGCAAAGCAAAGCACTAGCTAATAGTTTAATGTAGCAAAACAGCAGCTAAGAGCTAAAATTAGTAAAACTGCTAACAGTGTGGAAACATGCATGTTTTTGGTCTGTGGGAGGAAACTGGAGTACCCGGAGAAAACCCACGCATGCACAGAGAGAACATGCAAACTCCACCCAGAAAGGCTCCTGCCTGGGATTTGATCTGGCGACCTTCTCACTGAGAGCAGTTCTACCGACTGAGCCACCATGCCAGTTGGCAAATGAGTGCTTAAAACCTAAATATCAAAACTGAACTAAAAACTAAAATGAGCAGAACAATAGCTAAAAGTCAAATGTAAGGAATCCCTAACTAAAAAGTCCATTTTAGCAAGACAACTAAAAGATAAAGAAAACGGAATACAAAAATAAAGCAAACAGGCTAAAGTAAATTTCAAAACAAGTAATTAACAGAACTGAAGCGATCTCGACATAATTCTTTAGGGATTTTTTTTTATGAATAATGTGAAGGACACCTGGCTTATGATTTGTTTTTTGATGTTTGCAACCCCTGAAGATTATTGTAAAGCGTGTCGTATGTACTTAGTATTTATTTTGATGAGAATGTTGCTTTAAAATGAGCAAGTTGCCCTCATGACAAAAGTTCCCCCAGCAATGAAGAATACATGATTACGTTTGTGAGCTTTACAGTGTAAAACATTTGACATGAATTTACCTCCTGCTATGTCTGTAAAGTCGTCTTTATATATGCCTGGCTAGAATTGTGCTTTTTGCCAGGAGGGATAATATGTTTATTTTTAAAAGTATAACGCACAGTACCCTGCATTTAACTCGACGCCCGCCCCAACCACCACCACCACCCACCTACTTGAAAACACAGGGATGCTG